GTACTCGTCGTCCTCATAGTCTCGTCCTGCTCGTCCTCGACATCGTAGTCATCCTCGTGCTCGTCATCCTAGTCGCATCCTGGTCCTGATCATGGTCGCAAGCCTCGTCATCATCGTCATCCTGATCCTCCTCCTCGTCGTGATGCTCATCATCGTCCTGATAGTGGTCGTGGTCTTTCTCCTCCTCGTCTTTCTCCTCCTCGTGGTCTTTCTCCACCACAACCAACACCACTTCATCGTCCTCTTCTTTCTCCACCTCATTCTCCTCCTCCTCTTTCTCCTCCTCCTCCCATCCGCCTCCGCCTTCCGCTCCTCCTCGCTACCACCACTAATAACTAATATCATCACCATTGCCATCACTATCAACATCATGCTCATCATCGGCATTGCCATCACGACCACAATCATCATGATCATTTCATTACTGCCCTCCTCTGTCGTCTTCTTTCTATCTTGCAGTCTTGTGGTTCATGTTCACCCTCTGTCCGCATTCCCTCCCTATCCAGTCACAACCTTCATCCTCTCCCTCCTCGTCCTCGTCCGCATTACTGACTTCTCCTTCCCCCCCTCATTGTCATTCTCTACCCTGCTCTCAAATAACTTTTCTTTCCACTCTCTTTTGCTTCCTCCTTCATCTCCTCCTCCGTCTTCATGTCTCCTTCAGCTCCCATAGCGACACCAGAAGTACACAGTGATCGCTTGCCTCTCTCTCTATTCTACTGTTTCTGTTCTGCACCATGTTGGCATTCGTTTTGTTTTCAGACCCCCTCCTTCACCACCGGCCCTCCATGCCTCCTGTGCCTTCACATCTCCCTCAGACGACCTTTCCACAACTCACTTAAACGTTCATCAGGTTCTGATCCAAGAATGCTGTGTTGAGTTGTCTTGGTTTCACTTCCCGCCGTGGTCATCTATCCAGCACACAACCCGGAGATGCCGAGTGAAGACAGCAAGGACGTCATGGTGAACGACAACGTTGACGGCAACGGGGGTGCGGGACAAGCGGCGAACGGGGAATCGGGCGCTCATACCCCGCTCAACGAAGAGAGCAGGAAGAACAATCGGAACCTAAGCATCCAGACTTCATGGAAGAGTGACGACTCGGGAGTGAAGTCTTCCGGGTCAGCACAGAGGACGGGACACTTCCAGGATCGAACTCCCAGCACTGTGTCCAGCTCCTCCGGTGCCAGGGTGGTGCAGCTGCAGAGCTCGACGGTGGCGGACGCGCGCCACCTCCTGCGGAAGACGAAGAAGGATGCCATCGGCAAACAGGAGGAGCTGCGAGAGCTTGTGAGTGTCCGATATCGCGACTTCATCGAGGCCGCAGACACTATCTCGGCGATGGGAACGAGGGCGAGGTAGCCGTGCACGGCGCTGCTTGCCGACCTGACTCGTGATGTTCAGGGAGATCATCCAGGTTGCTGGTTCGCTGGCTGACACGTGCGGGGAGCTGATGATCGGTTCGTGGAAGGCTGGGCGGGGGCAGGATGTAAGCGAGGCTTCTTGCTTGTCTGCTCTGATGTTGGGGCAGGACGACTCGAGGGCTGCCAGCGCCAAGGACCTGCTCATCATCCTGCAGGCACCAGAGCGCGTTGCGACGGCGATTGAGCAGAGCAAGGTGAGACGGGACTAGCTGCTGCCCTGAAGATGGGCAAGGATTGAAATCAGACTAACGGTTTGCTCAGTACTTGTACGCTTCCGTCCAGCTACTGACAGCCCGGGACTCGTATCGGTACTCTTCGCCATGGTGCCGCTCCTGCCCCCGGCAGCTGATCGCCGGCCCTGTAGGTTGCTGAAGCGGAGCCAAGAGAAGAGCATCAAGTCATGGCTTGCGATCCCATACGTCAGACTGCGAATCCAAAGCCTGACATGCAAGTCTCAGGTACATGTTCTCTTCCTTGGATGGTTTGTCACTCACCATTGTTGTCTCGTTCCACTCAGGCGGAAATGGTGGTCAAGGCGGCTGAAACTGCTCTGACGAGTGCGCATCCCTCCGCGAACATTGTGAGTGAAGTCCTGCTGAGGCCTTTGACTCCTCTGAGCATGCAGACATCCTGCGCCGGTTGCCGCCTGCTCGCTGACTTGAGCGCGCAGAACAAATCGGCGAGTCTGATGGGAAACGCAGTGGCGGCGATCGCGCTTGTCAACCAACTCTCTCTGCGAGACTCACTGGACGCCTACCTGGAGGCTCGGACAAGCGCAGTCAAGGGGCTCTGTCGGGGGATCTCGAGGGAGAGGGCTGGACGAGACCAGGGAGGAGACGAGGAGCTCATCGAGGAGCTGTCGTCCCTCATGGGCTACGCTTGCGATGCCATCGCACGGACAGTCTGCGACTCTCTCCTGCTCTACTGCACCCTTGAGATTCCCACCGGAGGGGAGGGAGGAGAGGAGGAGGAGGCTGGGAAGGAAAGGAAGAAGCTCAAGGAGCCTATCATGCTCAGCTACCTCAAGCCCATCGCCAACGCCAGCCTTCACCTCCGCTCGGACATGCTGACTGAGCTGGAGTTGCCGCACTGCCGCACCTCAGCGCTGTCCTGGCTCCGGTCCATGTGCGCCACTGTGCGAGCAGCCGTGAGCTCTGCCCTGCTCTGCATCTCGTCCGGATCCTCTCTGGCATCACTAGAAGCCGCCGTGCAGGACAGGGCCAACGCAGCAATTGAGAGCGGGGAGGACGCGATATGCTGGAAGATGGTGACTGAGGAGTCGCTGTGGAGCATGCTGTACCGCAGCCCCTTCACCACTCGCAGCAACCAGCTCGTGGCCGCCAGGTTCTCCTCCATCCAGGTCGCTCACTTCCTCGCAGAGGAGCTGCAGGCGATCTCGGAAGAAGACATGGAGCTGGTCGGGGCGCACAGCTCCACTGCAGACCTCTTCCAGTGTCGCCGTCCGTTTCTCGATCACCCTCCACGAGGGAAGGCAGAGAGGAGAGAAGATCGCGGCCGGATCTGGGAGAACAGGTGCAACGCGTGCTCGGCTCGCTTCCTCACGCAGCTTCACTCGGCCGTCATGGACTGCAAGCTGCTCGTGGGGCATCAGCAGGATGAAGGAGCTCAGAACGCTTCCAAGGACTCATCAGCTGAGGACGAGAGGATGCACCTGCTCCTGAAGAGCTCGAGCGAGGTCTCTTCCGCCGGGCTGTTCAACCTAACTGACTCGCTGCGTCACAGGCGGTGGATGCTTTTGCTGAGCTCCTCCTGACACAGGCAAGTCTTGCCCCCCTCCTCATTTTCTCGTCCTCCTGTCTCCTCCTCCTCCTCTGTTGCTCCTCCACTCAGTCCTCTCCTTACACCTTCACACGTGGGATTCTTGTCTCGCAGCTCACGTGCACCGCAGGTCAAGTCCCTCAAGGAGCTCGCAGAGCCTCGGCTGGAGCAGCAGAGGAAGGAGGTGCTGAGACAAGAGCGAAGCGGCACCATGATGAGCCTGGGAGGGAGCCGGGCAGCAAGAGACACTCGAGTGGAGCAGGTGAGCTTGCGGGCTCGTGGAGAAGGAGGGAGGAAGGAGATGGAGGGGAGGGAGAGGGACGGGGAGCGAGGGTCGTGACTGCGTGAACTCAGAGCCTCTACATTGCACAATGTGCAACTGGGGTGGAGGCGCATCTTAGCAGCATCCTGAAGCTGCTCCCTGCTCGCAACAAATCCTCGGAGCAAGAGAAGATGGCGGAGAGGGAGCAGGAGGAGAGGACGTCCAAACTTCTCTCGGCCGCCTCCCTCGGCCACGGGCTGTGGATCGAGTGGATTGTCGCCAACGCCTGCACCAAGTTCGGACTAGCGCTGCAGGAGGTGTGCGGTGGGGACTTGGACTCTGTCGGAGCAGGGGACGCCGTTCTCCAGGCTCCGCGCAGCAAAATTCCTGGGCTGCCTCTGCTCAGAGATCTCAAGAGGATGTGGGAGGAGGTTGAGATCTCGGTGGAGACAGAGGGCGGAGAGACCAAGACTGAGAAGGTGCGGGAGTTCATCCGTCGTCCTCCTCGTTGAGCTGCTGCAGGTGGCGGTCCCTTCCTCCGTCCTCCCTCACACGTTCGCTCTCCTCATGGACGTGAGCGTTGCAGTCCAGGAGGTTCAGTCCCCTCCTCTCAGCATGACGACGCTGCGATCGCTGGTGTCGAGCGTCCTCAAGGAGTTCGTCGCTGCTTACGAGAGCAGCACCAAGAAGGCACGTTGTCTCCACCATCACCCTCCTCTCTCCCTGCCCACTGCTAGTTCCCCTCCCTCCTCTCCGGGCTCTACTTGCTAGTCCTGAACAAGTTTCCACTTCCTCCTCCTTCTCACCCTCCTCCTCTTTCCTCGCCCGTTGCTAACTGCGCTCTATTATCTCAGCTCTCCCTCGAGCTCGAGTCTTTGAATGTTCAAATGCTCTTCGACTTCCTTGTCGCCAAGGATCTTCTTGCCGGCCATTCGTGAGCCTTCACTACCCTCCTCCTCCTCCTCCCCCTAACGCTCCGCTTTCAGTCTCCCGAGGGACTTCGAGTTGAGAATTCAGAGGGTGGAGGAGGCGCTTGAGGATCGTCTGGATCCGATCGACTGGAATTTTCAGAAGAGTTTGTTTCAAACCAACAGGATAAGAGCCTACCAGGTATGCCTCCTCCTCCTCTCTCTTCTACTCCTCCTCTCCCTATCTTCCCTTCTCTCGTTTCTTTCTCCTCCTCCTCCTCCTCTTTCTGTCCCCCAACATCTCCTTATCTCCCTTTCCCTTCCCTCCCTTCTTCTCTCTCTCCCCGCTCTCCCCGTCCTTCCCACTCTTGTGTCTCCACTCTTGCTGTTCGTTTGCCTCCTGGACCTTCTCACTTTCCTCTCAGCGTTACTCCGTCATCTTCGGTGCCATCGTTCAGCTCAAGCGCGTGCATGTCAGAGAGTCTTCGCTGCAGAGCGGATCTTTGCCGAAGCCTATCAATCTCCTCCCCCTTGCCCAGCAGCAGAATCGCTTTGGCTACCTTCCCGCGGTTGACTCGTGGAACCTGGTGGAGGCAGAGGAGGAGGAGGAGGAGGAGGCCAAGGTCAAGCCTGCAGAGCCCCTTTCAGGAGGAAAGGCGTCCAACGCTGGTGTGGGGATTGCGGGCATGGATTCCTTGCATAAGGACGTGCAGGTGAGGACAGAGAATCACTTGATTTTGCTCTTCTTCCTGCTGCTCGCTCTCCTCTTGACCTGCCTTCCTTCGCTCCCTCCTCTCCGCTTGCTGCTTGCCGCTCCTCTTCCTCTTACTGTTCTGCAGGCTTCTCTTGGCAGGTTCAGCTCGCTCATGGCGAAGGGCTGGACCAACGCGGCTGACACGTTGGTGGGAGGCATCGAGAGACGAGTCGTGAAGTAGAAGAGCTGCGGGATAGAAGATGCCCAAGTTTTCATGCCGTTTATCCTTCATTCATCTGTGTGTGTGGGAGGGAGGGAGAGGGAGAGGCGTAGGGTGGAAAGAGAGGGAGGGGAAAGAGGGAGGCGGCGGTTGAAGGTGGTATCATGATTTCTGGTCTTTTTCTTCGTCCTTGGAAGGAGGGTCCAACTTGTCGGCTATTGTGCTCAACCCGCTCACAAACGCCTTGGAGAGCTTGCTCGTGATCTGCAGGCAGCGCGCATGAGCGGAGACGCCAGCGCTCCCTCCTCTCATCCCACCTGATGCTTCTCATTGAACTTGTTGGCGGCGGCAATAGTCCCTGCGAGCGGCAAGGCAGGCATGTCAGACCCCTCAGCACTACAAGTCTGCTGCACACCTGAAGCCGCTGCCTTGGTCTTGTCAACTACCTTGTACTTGTCATCGATCTCAACCGCCTGCAAACATTCAGCATCATCACGATCGTCCTTCCCACCCCCTCAGACCCTCCATCCCTCCTCCCTTACCTTCTGGTACGCTCCGACCGCAGCTCGTTTGACTTTGTCGGTCACCTGATGCTTCTCGTTGTACTCGCTCGCCTTCTTGTAGGCCCCGACTGCCATTCCCTCGCATCACTAGCACTGTGATACCACTCCTCCTCCTCCTCCTCCTCCTCCTCCTCCTCCTCCTCCTCCTCCTCCTCCTCCTCCTCCTCCTCACTTGTCGAGTGTCCTGCCGCTCTTGCAAAGTCGCCGATCTTGTCGTCCTTGGACGTGGCATACGCTGCGCCAGCTGCAAGGGCAACAGGCGCAATGACTCCACCCATTGTCACCGCTCCCACCACTCCTCCGGCAGCAGCTGCCATGACGTCATCATGCAGAGCGAGCCAAGAGATGCCCTTCAATCACCTGCTGCTCCCATGACCTTGACACCTCCAGCTCGCTGCGCTCCTTGCTCGAAGTTGTCGATCTGATTTACTGCTTGCTTGATAGCAACTTGCCTGTCCATGCTGGCCCATCGCATGTCAGTGGAAACGATGATGGCACGAGACTCTCGATAGTGCATGTCTAGCTTGCTCTAGCCCTCCGCATCAGATGACCGTTTACTCTTACTTCCTTTTCTTCTCATCTATCCTCTTCCCCTCTGTCTCTCCTTCCCCCTCTCCTTCCCCTACCCTCCCCTCCTCCCCTCCCCCTCCTCCTCCTCCTCCTCTCCCCCTCTCCCTCTCCCCTCCCCTCATTATTTCCTAATGTTTGTAGCTCGGACTTTTACCAAACAAGTGCACCCAAATAAGGAGGTACCCCCTCACTACGGGTGTATACAGATACCCTCATTTTGAGCCTCGAAATATGGGGTACTCAATGAGTCGTGGCACCACCGAGCAGCGACCTACAGCAAAACTAGGTAGATGTCCCGGATGTGCCTCGTGCACCCGGCGTCCGGGGGCACCCGGGCCCGCGCCTGGCCCCGCCAGTGGCATCGGGACTAGCGGCCCCGGAAGGGCCACCCGGGGCAGTTCACTCTGCAGTTCACTCAGCAGGTTCACTAGCTCAGGGGCTCAGGGGCTGGCCCGCTCCGGGCCGGCGAAACTTTGACATGCGCGCCGCGCGGGGGCTGTGCGGCGTGACCACTGGTGCGTGACGCTGAGTTAAAATTGTTTTTTAAAAGATCAGTGAGACTACCGGTACTAGAGAAGCGATCCACGGCCACTACTGCTTTCCGCCGCCTAGTTGGACCCGGTAGTCAAAGTCTGAGAGAACCCCCGGGGCGCCCGAAGTTGATTTTATAGGGGAGGCAAGTCCTTCTGCGGAGATTTCTGTACCCGGGTAATGCTACCGGTACAGTACTACTGTACTACAGATAATAATGATTTACAGTTATTAATTATATGTCATCGGTACTGTGAGGATAATAATGAGCTGCGGAATACTTCTAAAAAATATCTTTTCGATACGACAGGGCCTGGGCAATGGCGCCGGCCGAAGGTAGATGGCGGCGGAACGGCAGGTAGGGCGACGAGCGATGCTGAACATGGTATCCAAGGGATCGATCAGCTCATGGCGAAGTTGATCAGTGCCCGAGAGCATCTCTCCTCATTGAGAGCGCTGGCTCAAGCTGCAAGTGGCAATAAGGATTTAAGGGGAGGAGAGTATGCAAGGGGCTCGTCGCTGAGCGCTGGGGAGCGGGGATAGAGGGCCCTTGCTGAGAGGCAGAGAGAAAACGAGATCATGATTGAAGATTCAGACTGACTCTCAGCCATGAAGGCCGACCATCCTCAGTACTCGAAGCGCGCGGTAGGGGAGGGGAAGGAAGTTGGGACTTTGAACCCCGATGAGCTTTTCTCCGGGTCAGAGAGCCTCTTCGTCAAAGACAGCTCGATCTTGCATCCTTTCTCCAGCATTCACCTGACGTGGGACCTCTGGATGGTCCTGCTGCTGATCATCACCATTATCATCGTCCCGTATGAGCTGGCCTTCCAGGAGTTCACTTGCACAGCGTCCATTGACATTGCTCAGCTCGTCTTGCTGTGGGCGATCGACGCCTCCTTCTGGCTGGACATTCTCCTCAACTTCCGCACTGCTCTGGTGGTTCTGAACCCCGTGACGGGCAAGAGCGAGGTGATCATCGATCAGCGAACCATCGCCGTCACCTACGTCAAGTTCTGGTTTTGGTTCGATGCCATCGGCTCTCTCCCCATCCAGGCCATTGAGAGCAGCTACCTCAACACCAGCTGCTCCTTCTCAGCCATCAAGGCTCTCCGGTTCAACCGCCTGGTGCTCGATGCCTCTTCATGCTGATGACTCTGACGCCACGTCTGAGTGCAGGCGAGGCTCGTGAGGCTGTTCCGTATCATCAAGCTCATGCGGTTTAGTCGATGGACGTTCATGCTCACGAGGCTGCAGGTGATGCTGTGGCGTCATGCGGGAGGGGAGCTGACGGCTGTGCAGGATCGCCTCTCCATCAACCCGGCCCTGTTGCGATTCCTGGAACTGTCGGTGGCGGTGGTGATGCTCGCCCACTTCATGGCCTGCTTCGTGTACGGCATGCTCCCCTTCGAGACCGACTACGAGCAGAACTGGGGGTCTGTCTCTGTCATCACTGTGCCCTGGGCAGGAGAGTTTGTCCTGTTCTGCCCTCCTCCTTCCTTCACGGTCGACAACGAGGTCTTGCCCCCCTGCGTGCACCTGCAGGATGCCAACTGCTCAAGGACGGTGTTTGTTGAGGTCAACAACAGGACGGAGATTTCGAGGAGAAAATGCTTGCAGCGGGATGGCAAGTGGCTGGAAGAGGCGTCAAGCAGCAACAAGTACCTCATCTCCCTCTACTACACGTTCGTCACAATGTCCACGGTATGTTGGAGGAGGACGAAGAGGAGGACGAAGAGGAGGAGGACGAGGATCAACTTGGGAGGAGAGTGACGGGGATGGCAGGTAGGCTATGGCGACATCGTGTCACAGAATATCTTTGGGATCATGATCTGCACTCTCAACATGATGATGGGAACGATGCTGTTTGCGATCTTCATCGGCAACATCACGGAGCTGATGACGAACCTCGACCTCCGCTCCAAGAACTACCGCAAGAAGATGGACAGCATGGAGCACTTCATGCACTCCGAGAACCTGCCGCTGCGCCTCCGCAACAGGGTCAGGTACTTCTTCGAGCACGGGTACAACCACGCTCGGGGCCTGCCCTCCTTCATCGACGAGCTGCCGGAGAACCTCAAGATTTCAGTTGTGCTGCACCTCTACAACGACGTCGTCCGTTCCGTTCCCTTCTTCGCTCAGGGGAGCAAGCAGTTCATCACGATGATCATCCTCAAACTGAAGTCCAAGGTACTCGCCCCGCACGACGCCGTCTTCCATGCCGGCGACCATGGCGACACCATGTACTTCCTCAACGACGGGGCAGTGTGCATCATGCTCGACCAGCAGCTGGACATCTTTGCGACCATGTCCGAGGGAGGCTTCTTCGGGGAGGAGTGCGTGACAGGGCAGAGCGACGTGCGGGAGGTGTCGGTCTTCGCGCTCTCCTGGTGCAATCTCCTTTCTCTCTCCTCCCAGGACCTCGAGCAGTGCATCGCCGGCGAGCCCGAGTCGCGCGAGCTCTTCAGGAACCTTGTCACCTCCTCCAACCTCCAGCGCTGCATCGAGCGGATCCAAGGAGCGATCCCTGGGAGGGAGGTCGAGACTGAGACCCCACGGGAGGAGCAAGAGAAAGGGGAGAAGCGACAGTTCCCTCCCGTGGTCCTGCGAGCTCTAGAGCTGCAGGAGGACTCGTCCGAGCTCAAGGAGCAGCGGCCGCTCTCGTCCGCGCGCATGTCGAGAAACTCTGTTGACCTCGTAAAGCAGCTGCAGGAGCAGATGGGCATGGAGGAAGTCATGCAGCGAATCAGCTCGGTGAGCAACCCCCCCCCCCTTCCCCTTCTCTTTCTCTTCCCCCCCCCCACTCCCTTCCTCCCTTGTCCCTCCCTTCCTCTACTTCTCTCCCTCATCGCTCTGCAGGACTACGAAGCTTCGAGGAAGAGGCGAGCAAACGTTCGCAAGAGCATCGCAAGGCTGGAGAAGATCTTAACCACAGCGGGAAGGAGATAGTAGTTGACGAGCCCGGAAGAGGCTCACAGAGGATAAAGATCTGCGTCCTTGATGCGAACCCCCTCCTTTTCCACGGCGTGGAGGTACCTGGAGCTAGTCGGCAGTCAGGGCAAGATGACAAGAAGGGAAGGGGGCAGGGGGCAGAAGGGAGGGAGGAAGGAGGAGATACGTTGGGCAGCTGGACGCGCTTGCTGGGATGCCCTGTAGAGCTCCAACCTGACAGAAAGATCAGACGAGGAGAGAGGATGGAGAGGGCAAGGAAAGGCGGAGGAGGATGGGGAGGAGGAGGAGCGAGTGTGGTACCTGGAGTTGCGGTCTGCTAGGTGTGGCGAGAGAGGAGCGAAGAGATCCTGTCGCCGCTTCCTCCTTGGGCTCGAGCGAGCAAGTGAAGGAAGAGGAAGAGTCTCTGTCTTGTAGCTGGCAGCTGCTTCCTGCCGGAGGGATCAGGGAGATGCCGTGCTCCGCTGCTCTGGCGGACGGACGCTGCTGGGGCTGAGAGCTAGCAAGAGGAAGGGAGAAGACACTGGATATGGAGGAGGAGGAGGAGGAGGAGGGGACAAGAGCGGCGGGCTGCCGTGGCTGCAACTGCTCTGTCTCGTGTTTGTCCTCCTGCATGCTAGGGTCTTCTCGGGTGGACTCCTTGCTGGGCATCTCCTTGGCGGCAGCTTCGCCTTTCTGCAGCATCTGGAGGAAGAGCTCGCGCTTCTTCTTTGCCCTCTCTCGCTTCTCTGATGCAGAAAAATCAGCAGAAGGAGATGATGGAGGAGGAGGAGGAGGTGGTGGTGGTGGTTGTGGAGGAGGAGGAGGAGGTGGAGGTGGTGGTGTTGGTGGTGGAGGGCCCACCTTCGAGATGCAGCTGACCTTTGGCCCACACCGCCTGCTTTCGTACGGCATCTGCAGAAGGATGAGACGGCGGTGAGGAGGATAAGAGTCAATTCACTTGGATCGAAGTAGGGAGAAGAAGCATTCTGCGGTAGCAGAAGTGAGAACGAGATCCGAAGAAAACGAGCAAAACGAGGAGGAAGTGAAGAGAGAAGGAGAGAAGAGAGAAGAAGAAAAGAGAGAAGAAGAAAGAAGAGAGAGGGAGGAGAGAAGGAGAGAAGAAGAGAAGAGAGGGAGGAGGAGGAGTTCATCTACAGGGTCGCGGTCAAGCTTGGCTCTCTCTTTCTCCTCTCGCTCCTTCTGCTCGTTTTTCAGCTGCTCCTTCGCCCAGCGAGCCTGACGGGCCACTGCAACCACGTCCATATCCTGAGCACTGCGCTTGACCTGGAGATTGCATGAGAGAGCTGACGGGTAGAGGAGGAGGAAGCAGAAGGACGAGGGACGAGCGATTGAGAGAGGACCATCGGGAGCAAGCACCGTCTTGCATGAGGGGGGGACGGATAGAGGAGGAGGGAGCAGTGCAAGGAGGAAGAGAGGAGGAGGAGGAGGAGAGAGTAGGAAAGGGAGTCAGCTGTGCACGGCAAGAGACAGACGAGGGTCAGATGCTTTACCACTGGCTGCTGATGTGGAACGAGAGCCTCCCACTCCCCTCCTCTTCGGACCTGCCGCGTTTCGTCAGCCCTCCTGCTCTCCTCGCAGCTTCTTCCCTAACCTTGGACGGTGTTATCCAGCTGCTGACCTCCTCCACCGAGCAGGGGACCGCCTCCTGGTTCTTTGCTCTGCTCCTGCTGGATCAGCAAAGGTCGGGGAGGTGAGAAACAACCTGTCCTCCTCTTCCTTGACGGAGAACTTGCCGTCCTGTGATGTATTGAGCACCAGCAATTGCCTACAGAGGAGGAGGGAGGAGGTGGAAGAGGAGGAGGGAGGAGGGAAAGGAGAGGAGAAAAGAAGGGGTAAGGAAGAGGCGGAACCTTAAGGAGATGGAAGGGATGAAGCTCTCCGGACTGGCCGCTGGTCTGTCTCCTTGCTTTCATGTCTTCCTCAGACCTGTTCCCTGTAACGTCTTGCTCCTCAAGCAGCACAGGAGCTGTTTCTGCTTCTCCTGCCTCCTTTTCGCGTGCAATCATGCCGTTCAACTTCATCGACGAACGTCAGGGGAGAAGGAGAAGCAGAAAGACTCTGACCTTCACGACATCTGCTTTGACGAAAAGAGAGTTCTGCGGGAGCAAAAAGAGAACATCACAATTGGTATGTTGATGATGATGATGATGATGGCGGTGGTGATGATGTTGATGAACTTGCCAGGGAATACTCACATCGTGAAGGTAATTGTAATGCTACACATACCGTCAGCCAACATCTTTGCATCAGGCAGGGCAAGCACTACCTCTTGAGCGTTGCTCGACCGAGCCGAGTCAAGACGGTCGCCGAAGATGACCTCGCTCCAGTTCTCTATCAGCAAGTCAACCACGGCAAGTACAAGACTCGCAAATTAGATGCTCCTCCTCACCTCTACACTTCTCGATCTTCTCCAGTTCATCTTCCCTGGACACGACGAGGAAACCGCACTGATCGCTCGACTCTGCATCGCATGCGTCATTCACAGGTTTGATGTACTGGGCAACCCTCAAGGAACAGGTACCGTTGTATCTTGCTGACAGCGAAGACAGCTTCTCCTCCATCATCGGAGACTGGCAGACCAACGACAAGTCACAAGTCTCTCTGAAAGCAGATGAGGCGCTTATTTCACCTTCACTCTGATCGCTCCATCGCTGTCTGCTATTTTGCTTCTTTTGGGTGAGAATGCCTGGTAAAACCCCATCATCTCTCCCTCCAGCTCTCCGAGTTTCGATCTTGTACCTGCGCGATCTTCCATTCACTCAACTTCGTTGCCTTCGTCTCCAGCAATGCTGGAGGAGTGGACTTCTCGTTGTTGAGCTTGTTCCCGGACAAGTTTTTGCCGAACAAATTTTCTTTTTCATTGCTCGCATGAAAGCTTTCCCTGACCTTGTTCTGTCTGTTAAGAAGAGATCAGTACAAGACATCCGCATCTCAGGGCCTTCACCTGGATCCCTGGGACTTGTAAACATCAGGATTTAGGTCTCTTTGCTCACAAGTTGACCAAAGTCTGAAGAAAAAGTCAAATTCTGTCGCTCAAGCACATTTTGAGGTGTTATTACCTTTCTGCAGGATGGGTTGGAAATGATAAGTAAGAAGTGTCTTCAGACAAATCAGTCAGCAGATGTCTATGCAAACAACTTCGTGGCAGGAAAATGCTCATCCAATTAGTTGTCAGTCAGTCAGTCAGTCAGTCAGTCAGTCAGTCAGTCAGTCAGTCAGTCACTAGAACTATATCACGTCTGAGTCAGACTCGACCGGCCGCGTGAAAGTACACGCTGCCAACGAGTGGGAGGTGATGAGCAGGAGCAGGAGCAGGAGCAGGAGCAGGAGCAGGAGCAGGAGCAGGAGCAGGAGCAGGAGCAGGAGCAGGAGCAGGAGCAGGAGCGGTATGGCACACTGTACAGATTCCTACTTACATGACGTTCGCTTCATTGTGCGACTTGTCAAGCTTGCAGGAGGCACAGGGTAGGGTTATAACCATAACCCCAGAAAAGAATATCAAAAGAAGGGGTACAAAGATGATAATAGACAAAAAAGGTGGGTGGTGGGGTAGCTGTCACCCTATTTGCTTTCGTTTTTTGCCTTGTGCAACGGAAGATTCGGGCTGTGTAAAACTGTCTTTTTTGTTTTTTTAATGTCTTTTTAAGTTTTTTTCCTCGCACCATATCAAGGACGGTCGGAAAGCCCGAAGGCACCGGTACTATAAAACTAGCTGCTGTCAGGGGTGGGGTACTAAATTTCCGAGAAAAGGTAGGGTAGTATTCAGATGATATGGGGGGTGGGGGTGACACTTGCCCACCTGCTCCTATTCTTGGCACAATGGCTGGAGAGGGCATGGCGGCGAGAGGAGCGGCGGCGATGGGGCTGATGTGAGTTTTATCATACGATGCATGCCTTTGGATATTGAATATCTTGACAAGAGTCTCGGTTTTCTGACTTACTGTTTGTACCCAAGCCACATTTTTTCCATGCGCGTTTTGTGATATGTATGGTTCCCCAGCCATCTGTGTTTCAGTTGAATCTTGACTCTTGCTCATTGTGGCTACATGCAATTTGGTCTGTCATTGTTTATGAAGGAAATTTCAATGCATATCTTCCAGCTTTGTCAAGTGATCTTTTCGTGGTCACGAAAGTGGCTTGCATTTGTGTATTTCCGTTTTGCCTTGATACTCATGGTACATATTTTTTTCTTTTGTTTTGATTGGATGAAATGTTGGAATTGTTGGAATCGAGTGTCGATTATCTTCCTTGAAAGCCTCATCGAGTGAGATGTTCGCATTCTCAAAGTGGCTTTGTCTTGCCCTATTGCTGCTCGTGGATGCGCATGAATGTCGCAGCATTGGAGAGAAATAACACCTTGCTTCAGGTTCGTCGCCTCCATCGCGATTGTCATCTTTGTCGTCACTGCTGAGTCGTCGGGAAAGGACACGACAGTGCTGAGCACTGACTGCTCTGTCGATCCCTGGGCACCCGAGTGCCATCATGCTTCAATGATGGACATGATCAACAACATCCGTCACCGCGCCAGGGTGAGTCTTCATTATGCATGTGAAAGATTCAGTGATGGGATTGCAGAGCAATGCAATCGCGCAGAAGAAGTTGAAAATGCAGCTCCTGGCCGAGGAGAAAGCTGTCATCAAGAAGCAGGAGGAGAAGCAGGCGAAGAAGCATGGTGTGAACAACCTTCTCCTCACTGTTCATTTTCTGAGGCTTGTTTGATTCTCAGCGTCTGCCAAGTCGGCCGCGCCTGACTTGAAGAGCACTGTCTACAATGGTGTAGACATTGCTTCCAAGAAAGCAATTGACTCTAGTTTGACCAAGTGATCTTCCATTCCTCATCCTTCTTCCCGGCTGCTCTTGCTCTCCCTCTCTGTGCTGTCCCTTCGCTTCTCATCCATGTGTTTCTCACTTTGTCTGTCCCTCCTCTTTCGCCCCCACCCCCTCTCCCCTCCCTTCGCCTCCTTTGGCGCTCTCGCTGTTCGCTTCGCTCCCCAATCTTAGTTGCAACTCTCTCTTGTACATCGGCACAGCACATGACGCATGTTTTCGTAGGCTGTTGAAAAAGGGTGGAAAGGGGGCTGTCATGAAGAAGGTTGAAGAAATTCGGGAACAGGTCTGTGACGTGTACATCTATGGAGTCAACCTAATGGTTAATGACAGATTCTTGCTGATTCTGGGAAAATGTTTGGTTATGGAAAGAAGGTGGGTGCCCAGGATTGTATTGACTTGCCCCGCGTCTGATTCTGTTTGCAGGCTGGTTATCTGCCGCCCCCTCCGCATAAACTGATGAAGCAGCTCGGAGGTTAGAGGAGCCTTTTGTACATTAATCTAGGGAAACTGTTAAAATGAAGCTTGTCGAATGGATCCAACCTATCTTAGCCGGCTTCACGACGAAATGAAGCCCGAGCACATGGCATTTCATCACCACGATATGTGAGATGTGTGCGATACATTCTAGGTAGTTTGACCACGCGATCGATCCCGGTACCTCGCGGGTTTTCACAAGGACAGGTTAAGCTTCACTAGTGAAAGTTTTTCACTCCCTGACATAATCAGCGCGATCGGTTATGCCGGAGCGGCACCGGATACATCAGATCAGTCATATGATACACGAGTACAACACATAGGTTAATTCAGTGGCTCGGATGTATTGAGATCATAAGACTACGTGTCCTACAGAAAGCAAGACGGCCTCTGCAAAACGGGATCCCAACCAGTCTAAGATTTAGAACCACTCGCCGAAGTAGAGGGGGCGCTGCTCGTGGTGGAGGTACTCCATGCGCCACATCCAGAGCTGGGAGGTCTGCTGCTTGGTCTGGGAGAACATTTCTGCAGAATGATATCAGCGACTGCTGGTGCAATACATTGAGAAACAGAAACATTCAACAAGTTCACAGCCTTTTCTCCTTTTCTCCAAGAAATCACCCGCAACCAACAAGAAACATGAAGGTGTCCCTTCACATACTGAGCTGGTATTTCATCTTATGAATTAGCCAACCGAGCATTCAACACAGTGGACAGAGCGCAAGTTCCAAATATCATGTGTGCACATCCATGCCTTTCCACAAAGTCTGCTATCATCACAAGCAAGGGCAGAGCACATTGCACGCTTCCTCGATCAAAGCGTGCCATGTCATACCTGCGTCTAGGCCGTGAAGAGACACCACCAGCAGCGAGTTTAAATACTATTCTCTCTACCCCTGCTACCCCCCATTTACCCCTAGCTGAACCCCCTCATTGCCTCTCCCTGCCCCTTGGCGCACCCCCTACCTTACCGAAAAGCCAGCGAGGAGAAAAAAAGAATTCGAACTCGAGGGTGGGGGTACTTTAAAGGGTATCAGGGGGTGTCTCAACACCTTGTTCCTTCAATTGGGTGGGTCATGTACCCCACCCTGCCTCTTCAAGACCACCATGAATGACTCAACACCCCTATTCAAAGACTGTGATAACCCGGACATTTCCCACCACCTTCACACCCCCACCCTTGTTATATTCCTTCACTACCCCCAACGGACCATCTCTGGATGCCTTGTGATGGTCCTCGTCACCAGGCCCGACCGTGACCCGGTGACCAAGCGGCACCCGGAGGGTTCCGAACTAATAAGAAGTTCGCCGTTCCGATCACTGGCTGTGGCGCCGGGCCGGGCCCGGCGCGCTCGCCGGGACTCCCCGGCGAGCCTGGGCACTGGCGGCAGGCTCAGTGAGACGGCGCACCGGCTCGGGGTCGTGGAGTGGTGCCAGCAGCGTAGTACGCCGGGCAACTTTCACGGCGTCATGACCGTCAGTAACTACTTAATTTTAACTAAGTTGAAGTCAAGTTAAAATTACAACGGTCAGGCCCGAAGTTTTAAAGTCAAGCCTTAAAATCACAAGTCAGGCCCGGAAATACGGTAGATACTGTTTGTTTCTTGAAGGAACTGCTGCGCCGGCACGGTCACCTCTTTACTCAAAGTTAAGCTAAAGATCAGTACGAGGACAATAAGGAGAGTCGAGGCCGCCCTGAGGCTTGACCCTGACACCGTCTGTCGCACTGGCCAAACGGCGAGAAGCCTGAGCCTCCGAGAAAACTTAGGACAGCGAGAACCAAACTTTGAAACATATCTACCGGGGCCGTAATACGGCCGGGGCATCCGTAATGCGGCCCACGGATCTTCCGCTACTGGTACCGTCTTGACCGGGCCGGGCGTCCGAACTTCAAGTGGCTCGCCGGGGGCCGGGCTCGGCCGCCCGGCGGGCCGGGCCGCTCGGAGGTTCCAGGCCGCATCATCATCGGCGGTTCCGCCGGCCCGGGTACTGAAACTGGTTCCAGGAATAGACTTATTATTACATATCTGGTTCTGTACGACATCAGCACATAATTTTCAAAACATATATTGGCAATTGAAATTTGCTAGAGTAATTCTGTGACAGAATGTACAAATGAAAGCTTGTCATTCCAGATCAATTCACTGTTTTGAGACGGAGTGCGATGGATGGCACGGAGATGGGGGAGGATCAGGGGAGAGAGAGAGGGTCGAGGGAGGAACTGACTACTAGGCTAGGATGGACACTGTTGATGGAGATCTGAAGATCCACTTCGAGGAAGAGAGGATCGCGCCTGAGAGGGTTGATGACTGCATGTTTGTAACATCCTTTTGGTTGTTGACGTCGAGGACCCTGTAGTGAAGGGTTCGAACATGAATGTTGCGTGCTTCACATGTGCAGACTGTTGACACAGCATTGGTTTTTCTGTCTAGGATGAGCCAAAGGTATTTGGTGCGGGAGATTCGGACGCTGCATGATCGAACCGTGTCATTCTTCGAGACAACATGAGCAGTAACAGAGAAGATGTTTCTTGAGCGTGGTATCCCTCATCATCACGTGCAGGCAAAGGGAAGAACAAATTCGACAAGTGGGTCAGCAGAATACAGCAGAGCTCTAGTTCTCCTTCCAGCCCAAGGAGCCCCCGAACCCCACGCCGCAACTCATCTCCTGACTGTGAGAAGCCTCTAGATTCAACCTTGGAGGTTTTTCTCATCAACAACGATGCTTGGAGCTGTCTGACTGTCATGTGACAGACCAACAGGGCTACAACTGAGGCGTCGAGCTCAACGAGGAACACGACAGTGAGTCTCTTGCAGGACTTGCTTGCTTCCAAGGTGCTCATGGCAAGCAACAGCATCCCCCGGCTGAAGAAATGAGGAGAGCAGAACCATCGCCTGCACCAGCGGCGGCAACTGCTGTGCAGGTAGAGATACAGAGCAGTCAGGTCGTGCCTGAGTCATGCTGTCAGATGGGATCGAAGCTAGAGCGATGGGTGAGCAGAGTGCGAAGGAGTCAACAAGCGGCACAAGCGCCAAGCTCCAAGCAAACTATTCCGAAGGATCAAGAGAAGCAAGATGGAAGCAATGCGGCGACATCGAAGACTGTGGGGAAGCAGTCAAGGAAGCTCGTGCCTGAGTCATGCTGCTAGGGATCGAAGCTAGAGCGATGGGTGATGAGAACGAGAAGAAGTAGGCCAGCGGCACAGACAGGAAGCGAAGTACAGCCTCAGCCGGACGATGCGAATGATCAGGAGAAGCCTGGGGGAGGAAATGTGAGACACTTCGATCAAACCTGCTTACCCCAACCCTCTTGCGAACCGTTTTTTCTCATCCTTGCCCCTGCACACACGCCTGTATCGGTCCTTTCTCCTCATTGCTCTCGTGCAGTCTTTAGTGTTTTCTTGTTTCTCTTCCTCTCTCTGCGTCTCCTTCTGATCCACGAAAAAGGTTACATCTCCTCCCGCTGGCCACTTCGCCAACCCTCCCCCTCGCGGGTCGATCATGGAGGAATGGATGCGCAAGGCGAGAGCTCGAGACTTCGCGGTGAGGGAGCGGCGAGAGCTCAGTATGTGATGATGTTCCTGCAGTGGGTAAGGAACGTGCAAGCCCAGCAGCGTCGAGCAGGAGGTAGCTGGGCCTGTGCTTGCGCAGGATCAGATCTGAACGCTCCTGTCAGCTACTCCGCAGCCACCCAACGTTGCAGCGCAGCAGCAGGTGACATGGGAGTCAAAGGATTGACTTGATGAGTGACGTGGATGAAGAAGGAGAGAAGTGTGGGAGGGGGAATGCCTGGGGCGATTCCAGGACGAAACAAGGTTGAACCCTTCCTCCGAAGACGATCTGTTCCTTCCTCTCCTGCCTTCCGAAGATAATCTGTTCCTTCCTTTTCTGCTCCTGTTCGGTTTCCTCGGAATCCTCTGACTCTCTTTGCCGCGGCAGCTGGAAAGATGGTTGATCAGAACTCGTAGCAGCGTCTCTATTCCGTCGGTCAAGCAAGGTTCCTTGCTCTTAAGTTGTTTTACTATCTTATCTCGTGCGTCAGATTCCAACGGCACAAGCAGCGAACTGGTGGGTGCAAGCTCATAGATGCTGCTGCTGCTGCTGCTGCTGCTGATGATGATGATGATGATGATGATGATGATGATGATGACGATGACGACAATGATGATGATGAATATTGTATGGTGGTGGTGCTGATGAAAATGATGATGCTGAGGCGCGAGGATTCGTCAGATTGGGGGTGTGATCATATTTTTGCAACTAGGTGATGGATGAAAACAATGGATATCATCGCATCGACAAGGATGGAATCATGTTTGCTGGTTTCCTAGTCGACGGAAAGAAGCACGG